ATTTCTCCAGGATGATTTTCTCCTACGTACTTTTCGTTTTTTCTTACCTTATTCTGACCTTTCTGTAGTTTGTTCTTACCCTGAGACTATCCTCCGGTTTGTAATTTGTTCTTATCCTGAGCCCACCATTTGGAGGTCGACTGTATCTCAGCTTATCATGGGACCTGTCTTGCCAAAGACTACCATGGGCTGGTATTGGGCTTTGAATGTTCTTTCTCCTCAGCTCTTTCTCTCCCTACCCCATTTATTGTTAATCAAATTTTCTGTTTAGCCTCTGAATTTTTACTTTCAACCAAAAATTGGGTTAGGATTTTCCTAGTATAAATTTTTAGGATGTCAGTAAAAAGAAAAAAAAAAAAACTTTTATGTTGTATTTTTCATAGTTTTTAGTAAGAGGGTTAATTAGCTCTCCATTACTGGAAACCAGAACCCTAAAAAAATAGTATAATAGTATAATCAAATTAGATGTTAACAGCAAAAGGATTTTTTAAAAGTTCATTTACCTATAATACATAAATTATGGTCCTCCATAACTCTTGGTTTAAAGAGTTGTAATTTCAAAATGAAAATTACAAATTATTCTAAATCAATAATTGGAACATGACTTCTGAATATCTGGCATGAGACCAAAGTGGTATGTAGCAGAAAAGTTAAGCTGTGAATACATTTATTAGAAAACAACAAAAATCAGAAAAGAATAAGTAATGTGACAGTAGAAGGGATCAGAAAAAATTAGAAAAAGAATAAGCCCAATGACAGTGGAAGGGAGTAAGCAGAATTTTGTGAAATAGGAAAAAAATAAAAAGTTTTTCTATAAAGATTAGAGCTGGTTCTCTGAAAAGACCAATAAAATAATTAAAGTCTTAGCAAGTTTAATAAAAAGTAAAGAGAAGACACATGTAAATAATTACATTTGGAATAAAAGTGGAAACATAACTACACATATGGAAGAAATTAAGTAATTACACTAGAAACTGCAAACCATGTTAACTAGTAACTTGGCAGTTTATCACTATTAAAAATAATGTTATATCTAAATACTTCTCCATAGGCAACCTATTTTGCATTAGTTTGATATGTAATACACAGTAGTACCTTTAAAGAGAAATTTTCTGCTTGTAACTTTTCATTTGTTATTCCTATATATAAGTTATTCCTAGAAATTTAACATGTGTTTTAGTTAAAAAGTTGATCGGATGTATTTTTCCCTTTTTTTTTTTTTTTTTTGTTGATACGCGAGTTTCACTCTTGTTCCCCCGCAGGCTGGAGTGCAATGGCGTGATCTCGGCTCACTGCAACCTCCACCTCCAGGTTCAAGTGATTCTCTACCTCAGCCTCCTGAATAGCTGGGATTACAGGCACCTGCCTCCACCCGCGCTGTGCTAATTTTTGTATTTTTAGTAGAGACAGGTTTCCACATTGTGGCCAGGCTGTCTCTAACTCCTGACCTCAGGTGATCCGCATGTCTTGGCCTCCCCAAAGTATTAGGATTACAGGCTGTAGCCACCGCACCCAGCTGGTAGGCCTGATTTTTCTTTCTTTCTTTTGCTGGCCCTGCCCTGCGCCGCTGCTGGGCTTGCGGGCCGCCCCTGGCCCCCGTCCGTCCGCCGTTCCCGCTCCCACCCCACCCCTCCCTTTCCCTTCCCTTCTGATTATGCATTTGCTATTTGATTAATAAACCTTTTGATTATGCATTTGCTATTTGTGGTAAGCATATTTTATATTTTTCAGGTGTTAAGATTAAACAACTAGTATTTATAACTTCTTTTAAGGTACTGGAACAAGATATATTTGGAGGGTAAATTGTAGTAGAATACTCTGTCTCTTGTTGTCCTGTGTTTGTATCTTTTGTATTATGTAGCAGTTATGTTCCAACGGCATTGACTTTGAAGCCTGATGGAAATATATTTCCATAGGAACAAAACTTGGAATAATATAGCAAAAAGACTCAGACAACAATATAACTCAGTGTTATATGCTCAGCATGATGGTGCATCGGTAATATACTTGATAAGAGTTGATATTGCAACCTGATTTTTCTTGTGTCACTCTCCATCAATTTTTTTGTGTTTGTGCATTTTCAAATATTACATGACTTTGCCTCATGTTTAATCAGTATTTTATACAACTTCATATAATGCTAACAAAGGAAAAAGCTTGAGGGTGTTTGTCACATTCTGCCAGTTCTCAGAAAAATCTAAGTCCCAGAAAAGTTACATCATTGCTTCTTACACTGTCTGTGATGAAGAATCAGATTTTTCTTTTCTTTCTTTTCCCCTGTGTGTTGAAGACTGATATGGGTTGCTATTATATATGGCTAGTATTTTGCTCGTGTCATATGTTTGACTACATTGAAACATACCTTATTCTGCAGAGTCCACTGGTGATGTACCTGAATGTTGTGGTAGTGTCAGTTGCTCTGAGAGTTTCTGAATGCTTATCTCAGTTTTTGTACTTTCCTTGTTATGGACTGGTAAAATGCAGTGCATCAACTATACTTTGAAACCAAACTAGGAGCAATCCATATGTTTGATCTATTCAGGCAGTGGGGCATCACTATTTTAGATGTTAGTGAAGAGCAACAGCTTTGAAATGAACTTAATTGTTTTTTTGTTTGTTTGTTTTTGAGAAGGAGTCTGGCTCTGTCACCTAGGCTGGAGTGCAGTGGCACAATCTCAGCTCGCTGCAGCCTCCGCCTCCAGGTTCAAGCAGTTCTCCTGCTTCAGCCTCCCAAGTAGCTGGGATTACAGGCTCATGCCACCACACCCGGCTAATTTTTAAAAATATTTTTGGTAGAGACGTGGTTTCACCATGTTGGCCAGGCTGGTCTTGAACTCCTGATCTCAAGTGATCCGCCCACCTCAGCCTCCCAAAGGGCTGGAATTCCAGGCGTGAGCCGCCAATGAACTTAATTGTAAACGCTTCAAAAGGAGCTACCCCAGGAATTCTGGGGTAGAAAACATCTTTTCTAGGTGCAAATGAAAAATTTAAGTTATAGAAAAGTATTTTAATTAGTTAATATGTAGTTTGCTTTTATATCTTTTTACATTTGTGCCTTTAGAGCTCCAAATTGCTTCAAGGGATTAAAATCATCCAGGCAGATAGATTAAGACTTAAAAGAGATAATTAATGTCGGTACAGAAAAGTAAGTGGAGAAGAAAGTTTTGAGAGGAAGCATTAAGAAAAAACTTAAATGTGGAAGACTACGTAATTGATTGAGGAACTGAACTTACCTTAATAGATCTTTAACAGTTTGGTTCCTTAAGTATAAAATGCAGGAAATAATTTATGTTTTAATTTTAAAAAGTGTGTGTGTGTTTGTTTGTTTTGGTGGCTTTTAAAAGACAGAAATGCTAAGTTTTCAATTCTGGAGAGTAGCTTTTGATGTTCGCTTGGCACATATTTATTGAGCTTCTGAAATCATACTAAATTTATATATGATCCTGGAGAAAGTCCTAAAATCATACCAAAATCAGGTAAATTACTAAGCAAGCTGCTTTGTGTGCCTTCCACTCACAAATAAGTTGGAGTACACCAAACAGGATCAACTAACTCAAAGATCCAGATTCTTAACGTGGGAATCAAATGGTATGGGTGTTTATATCCTACCAAACTGCTAAGGATTAAGCCTGACTCTTTTTTGGGTCACCAGCTCTAATTCATTGATGATAAGATAAACTATGAAGAGTATTAAGTTTTCTTAAAAAGCAGTAAGTTAAAATCGAAAGTGGGAATAGAAGGGAAAGAATAGGGTTTTTGGAGACCTCAGGGTATATACTACTAAAAGTTGAGAACTATAAGGTAAAACCTCACTTTCTTAATTGCCATCAGCATTAGTCTGGGTATGTTCACAAATTTGAGAGTTTTTTTTTTTTTTTACACTTACATATGAAGAGATGGAAGTTAACTTTACATTAAAATCGTAGCAAAATTTCAGGCTTGTGGCTATTTCTTCCACCATTCCTTGTTTCCACCTTTTTTTTTTTGGTTTGGCATTATTTCTGTTGTTCCCCACTCTCATATTCTGATAGGTGCCAATTTCCCAACCAGTTGAGTCTCCATCCCTGGAATCTCTTCCTATCCAGTTTAACATATTATGGCATTTAATGTGCCCCTATGTTGGTGTTGTGTGTGCAGGGGTCTGTGGCGGGGGGGAAGAAAAGAAAAAATAATGTGCTGCATCTTCCATTCATCATGAACTATTTGTTTTTAGTAGTAATAATTGGCTTTTGAATACTTACCTGCAGGACACAGTGTTAATCACTTTATAGGTGAATAAATAAAGTACTGTAGTTTCCATTTTACAGATGAGAAGACTGAGGTAGAAAGGTCATATGACTTTACCAAAGTCACTCAGATAGTAATGGCTGAGCTAGGATTCAGTGGCAGCATTCTGTCTCCAGAGCCCTCATTTAGTAGCCCTGGCGTTAATAGTAGGAATGAAAATGGTATCAAAATGCTAAGAAAGAAACGATCACGCAACAGTGTGATTGCTAGTATTTACTGAGAGATTACTATGTTCCGGACACAGTAGTAATTGCTTTAAGAACAAATGTGTAACTTCATTAATCTCCTAGCACATAGTAGTAGCTTTTCATTAAATATTTGTTAATTAGAATATGTAAAATCCACATTTAGATGCAAGAACTTACACTCCTTGCCTCTTACGTAGCACCTTAGAAGCTTAATCTTCCCATAAACTCTGTTGGACACTGCAGGGAATATCAAGATTGGTTTGTTGTTGTTTTGCCTTTAAACCGTAGATGTTTTAGCACTAAAAGTGGTCTGTGCTAAACTCCAAAAGTTTTTTTTATTAGAACTATTTTATTTAACATTTATCTTTTATTAAATAAAAAAAATTTAAGCAATTAAAACATTCTCATAAATGGAGAACATAACAAATAACCCACATACCCACCACCGAGAATCAGATAATTACTTATGCAGTTTTTTTATTTTTTAATTTAATGCTAACTTCTGTGTTTGTTTCATGCTTAAAGCCATATCCAGAAGACCCAGCAGTTTATAAACCACTCTCCCAGGAAGAACTGCAAAGGATAAAGAATGAGAAAAAACAGAAACAAAATGAGAGAAAACAAAAAATATCAGAAAATCGCAAACATTTGGCTAGTGTACGTGTCGTACAAAAAAACCTCGTCTTTGTTGTAGGTTTATCTCAGCGCCTAGCAGACCCAGAGGTAAGTCCTCTTGTTTTCTTTGTCATCTTGATATTTTTTCTGTTTCCTTGTCTTACTTGGAAATAATAGTTGACCCTGCTCAATTGTGTGATTCCTCACATTATATCTTAAAGGAGAAAATAAGGAATTACTTTTGAATAGTTGCTAAGAAACCAATGACCAGTCGTGATCTTAGGCAAGTGTCTTAATCTGTCTTGGCTTCAGTTTCTTCAGTTGTAAAACTAAGGAGTTGAACTAGGAGTTGAACTAGATTTCTAACGTGCTGACAGTCTGTTAAAACTGGATAATGATTCGATTTTGCTGTTAAGGCTAACGTGACATGAATACTCTGTTTCTTTCCTCTTTTCTGTATCTATATAAGGACCAGCAGTGGAGATGCAGTTACTTGAACCCACTAGAGATTTTAGTAACCTAGATTTTAAAAAGTCTGCCCAAGTAGTAATTGTTGGTTTTTCAGACCTGTTGCTATACTGTATCATCATTCTTTACTTACTCATTTTAAGCCAGTTTGGAGGAAGAGGGAGAATTTGGTAATGTGAAATAAAGGACCAATTTCTTTGTCATCCATTCAGGGGGAGGAGAGAGCTTAACCTTATTTCTTAGTACCTCTTTTTTCTCTTCTTCCGCCACAAGCCTTATTAGAGTAATGTCGAACTCATACTTTCCTTGAGGACCTTAGATAAGCATCTGGTAATTTTTAGTTTCTGATATACCATGAGATACTGACTAGATTGTTGATAAGGCAAATATAAGCTGATCGACAGGCAGAGTGTTTACTTGGTAGGAGAGAGCTGGTTTTGAGGGATCCTCCAAAAGATCCTTGAGAAGAGTTTAAAGTAATATTAGGCATGGTACCCATCAGAAGAAAGATTGTAGGGAACATGCTTAAGGAGGTAGGAACCTTTGGACTTGGGTGAGCGTGTTAAAGGTCCCAGAAGGAGGATCTTTAAGGAGTATAATGTCTGTTTTTGTAAAAATTAATTTACCTGTAATCCCAGCACTTTGGGAGGCCGAGACGGGTGGATCACGAGGTCAGGAGATCGAGACCATCCTGGCTAACCCGGTGAAACCCCGCTTCTACTAAAAAATACAAAAAACTAGCCAGGCGAGGTGGCGGGTGCCTGTAGTCCCAGCTACTCGGGAGGCTGAGGCAGGAGAATGGCGTGACCCTGAGAGGATGAGCTTGCAGTGAGCTGAGATCCGGTCACTGCACTCCAGCCTGGGTGACAGAGCAAGACTCCGTCTCAAAAAAAAAAAAAAAAAAAATTATTTTAAAAAATAGTTTTTATTGATGATGTGTTTGTATGTGTTGCAACTATACAGGTCTTCAAAATCAATACGAAATGATTTTGACCCTGTGAAAGTTGGGGACATTACTAAGAAGGATCTGTCATGGATGATAAACATGAAGGCAACTCAAGAATTACTAGGACCTAGGTCCAGGGATGCTGGCAGTCATTAGTTATGTGATACTCAGGAGACCAAGTTCTTTCCAAATCCAAAGGAGTGGTCTAGAGTTGATACAGAAAAAAACTACTTCAGTAAGAAATGTTCAGCAAAGAGCTCATTTTAGGTGTATGACTCAACTTCTGTAGCCAGTTCTCCCTCTTTTTTTTTTTTTTTAAGCTAGTGATTATTCCCCAGGCAGACAGAATCCTACCTCAGCTTTGATCATTTCCTTGAACAACACTTCAACTTTGCACTAATCCTTTTATCTCCGTCTTTTAACTCTAAAATAGAGTTAAAAAGGTGTGAGCCACTTTTTTTCTAACCACAGGGCACTTCTATATACTCCTCTAACCAGTGGGCACTTATGCCAGTATTTACTCATACTAATCTTACTGATTTAGAATCTACTTTTTTCTTTTTTTTTTTTTTTTGAGACACGGTCTCACTTTGTCACCCAGGCTGGAATGTAGTGATATGATCATGGCTCACTGCAGCCTCAACCTTCTGGGCTCAAGTGATTCTTGTGCCTCAGCCCCCCAGGTAACTGGGTCTACAGGTGCATATCACCACACCTGGCTAATTTTTGTATTTTTTTGTAGAGATGGGGTTTTGCCATGTTGCCCAGGCTGGTCTTAAACTCCTGAGCTCAAGCAATCTGCCCGCCTTGGCCTTCCAAAGTGCTGGGATTACAGGTATGAGCCACTGTGCCCAACCTAGAATCTACTTTCGCCTTTCTGAAAGTGCAGTTCCAGTAAATGAATGGAACTTTTATCTTGATTTGAGAGCTCTTGGATATGGATGTTCCTGTTTTTATTAATACATCTTGGATCTGATCAACTGTAGTACTGGAGGCATATGAAATAGCATCCAAAATTTGGATGAAATTAAGGCATAGACTGAATATGATATTTGGATTATAAGTTTCCTACCTCTTCTTTTGGGCATGTGATTTATAAGAGGGTTGTTTGTTTGTTTGTTTTTTGCCCAGGCTGGAGTGCAGTGCATGATCTTGGCTCACTGCAGCCTCCACCCCCTGGGTTTAAGTGATTCTCCTGCCTCCACCACCTGAAGAGCTAGGATTACAGGCATGCGCCGCCATGCCCAGCTAATTTTTTTTTTTTTTTTGTATTTTTAGTAGAGATGGGGTTTCACCATGTTGACCAGGCTGGTCTTAAACGCCTGACCTCAAGTGATCCACCTGCCTTGGCCTCCCAAAGTGCTAGGAGTACAGGTGTGAGCCACTGTGTTTTTTATTTACTTACAGAGATTTCTTATTTCCATTTCAAGTAACTCTAGTAAGATTAATCTGAACTATTATACTGAAGGAAATGAATCTAAGTGGTGACTACTGAAAGAGAGTACTTTATCATGAGTCTATGCTTAAAAATATACTCTACTAGTTTTATATGTTTGAAATAATTATTTCTTGGTGAGAGGACATTGGATTTTCTTAAATGAAATAAATGGGCACTTTCCTTTATTTCTCTTGAAAGTCCAGAAAGATCAGAGACAAGTGTTTTGTTTTTTTTAAATAATACCACTTCTAAATAATATCTTTTACAATTCTCTTAATTTGTCTTTATAACCTTTTTAGTATTTGGAAATCTTCTAGTGAAGTTAACTTCACTAGAAAACTCAAAAGAAGGTTCAAATTGCTAGCGTCACTTTCAAGTCAAAGAAGGATCCTTGTAATTTATTTATCTTTGTGAACAGTTTGATATTTGACCTAATTCTGATTGACAAAATAGGAGAGTTTAGGAACAATTAAAGCTTATTTTTAAAATAATTTTTGCATACCAAAAATCTTCATACCAATATTGATTGTCAAATGTATTCATTTGTTGGTTGATAGACAAAAAAAAGATCTTAGAAGACAAGGTAATTAGAGCTAATGATTAGATCAGAGGTAATGATGATCACCTTCTAAGTCCTAAAATTTTAGGTTTGTGAGGATGTAATTGATTTATTCTGCAAATTAATTCTTGAATGCCTACCATTTGCTAGATATTTTGATGTCGGGGGTGGTGGGAAAAGTAGTTAGCAAGCCAGACACAAGCTTACAGACTGGTAGGGAAGACAGAATTTAAGTGCTTACATGTGTGCTGAGTGTTTATAAAAGGAAAGTACACAGCTTTTTGGGAACATATATTAGAACAGTTAGCTAGTGTGGAGATTGACAAAAAGCTTCTCTGAGGAAAGGACAATTAGGGTCAGCTTGAAGAATTAATGGGTGTTATCTAGGTAGCACATAAATAAGAGTGTCCTGGGTATATGTGATAACCCAGGAGAGCAGCTTGTTTGATGAACTGTACGACTGTAAAGACACAACATTTCATTTTACAAATAAGAAACTGAGGCAAAAGGAAGTTGAGTGACTTGCCCATGGTCTTACAGTTCCTATTCCAGGGTATTCTGTGTTGATGATTACTGTGTTTTTCATCCATCCATTCATCTATTCACTCATTCATCCATCTGATTACCAAGTTTTTGTTTTTCTCTGTAGTGTCTGTGAATACTTGACTGTTTTCCCAAGGAATATATAACAAGACATTTTGGTTACTAGGCATGCCCTTGGACATTTATAATTCTGTCACATGGCCATCTATTTACTATATTAGTAGGAAAACTGGTCCACTGTGAAATACATCGTGACGTTGAGTATATAGATAATGTGTCTGTGTACAGGGTGCTCTGTCTACTCTCCATACCCTTTATTTGTTCACTAGAATACTATTTTACTAGTTGTTTAGGCAGAATCTAGAGTGTTCAAGTTAATAGGGAAAGTTTAAATTCATTGTTTTTCCCTTGCCTGGGCAGCCTATTTCTTGTCAACCACTTGCCATTTGCTAATACTTTGAGGCCCACTATTGTTACAAATCCGTGTAATTCTTTTTGTTTAATGCTAAGACAGTTCACTTTTTCAGTAAGTATTTATTGAGTACCTGCAATATGCCAGGCATTATTTAAGACACTGAGCATTCACTGATAAACAAGTAGTAGTAGATAAATAAGAAGTACCTTCCTTTTTACAAAAGTAACAGGATGAGAAGTATTGTGTGCTGTGAAGGCACAAGGGATAGCATTCCACCTTGGGAGGGAGGTATGTACCCCTCTCCTGTCTTTGGGGTAAAGTGCTTCTGGCACAGCAACCATACAGATGCTTCTGGATGAGAAAGACCTCAATCTGCAAGTGATTTGTTTGGCTGGAAGATTAGATTGCAGTGGTCAGAGATAAGGTTGCCAAGGTAAGTGGTAATGGATCATGAAGGGCTTTCTAACCATGCTAAGGAGTTTGCACTTTATCCTCAAGGCAGGGGAAAGCTTTTGAATGTTCTTAAGAACAGAGTGATGTGATTAGATTTGTGCTTTGACAGTACCATTCTGGCTGCAGTGTGAACATGTCATCATAATTACATACCAATCTGATGTTGTTATAAAGGTGTTACACCCAAACGTTGGCCAGAAACCATTTCCATAAACCAGTGGCCTTCAACCTTGTCAGACTCAGTGTCCACTTTTTAAAAACTAATGTAACACCCCTTGACTTTCATGAAATGACTTCTTGATGATATAATTTGTCTACACACATAATTTGAAAAAGTATATGTAAATGAGGAATAAAAAGAAAGTAGTTACAAAAAGACTATTTGTACATTTAAATGCTTGGACACTTCTTCTCTAGAACCTTGCTATTCAAGGTGTGGCCTCTGGGCCAGTAACATTAATATCACTGCAGAGCTTATTAAGCAAACTCTTCAGCCTTGCTTCAGATCTACTGGATCTGAATCTGCATTTTAACTAGATCATCGGAGGATTTATTTACATATTGAGGCTCTAAACTACTATTTTATCCTGTGTAATAAAGAAGTAAGATACTTGCACCTATTTGTAAAATCATGGACTGTGACAGCTACAAATGCAGATTGTTACTGGTGTATGTATTGGGCAACTCAGGTGCCATGAAACATCAATAATGTGATTTTTCTCAGATAACTCTTAGTAAAATTTTAAACAAAACATGTGTAGTCATCCCCTAATTACATATTATTTGCTTTCCTGTAAACTCAGTGTATGGCAAAACTGGGAAAATACTTTGTAATTATGTATAATATGGAATTTGTTTCTGGCTCAATAAACAGCTTCAGGTATGTCTTGTAGTACATTCAGAAATTGTGCCAGATAATTCTTTGCTGTACGGGGCTAGCCTGAGCCTTGTAAGACATCTCTGGTCCCCATCCACTGAACAGCAGCAGTCTCTCCCAGTCACTTTAACCGTCTCTCCCAATAAAAGCTTTCACAAATTTCCAGACTGCCCCTTGAGTGCTTCCCTCATTGAGAACTACTGCCATAAACCTATGATGCTGATGCAGTACAACCTGTGACCAGCCTCACTGAACCCTTTGGAGTAGCTGTCTTAGCTATGAGGCTGGTTGCTGAGTTGGTATTCATCCAGCTGGAAGATTGAATACAGTTCCAAACTCCACTAGCCAGAAAGCTTTTTCAAACTCTGCTCTTCTCTCTTTATTAACCCTGAGACTTTGCTACCAATAACCTAAGGGTCATTGTGTTAGCCACTATTACTATCATATCCCTCAGGGGTTTTGGGTGGAAAAAAGATTGAAACTTAGTGTAATTACCTCACCTTCTAATCTGTTAGAATTGGCTACAGGAAACGTAACAGTTACCTTATACTTCCAAGCACCTAAAATAAAATATGGTAAGATTAATTACTTTCTATTAATTAGGTAGAAGACTAAGAATTAATGATACACCAGCCATAGATTTATTCATGAAGCTTTGATTCTATCAAATGCAGAACAGAATAGCTAAATTATAAGTCTGTAAGAATATTATCAAATATGAATGGAAAGAAATACTTTACACACACTTGAATAGGTACATGCAGAAAGCTTTCATTTGGAGAGAGCTTGCTATTTGGAGAGATTGTAGGAACAGTAGGTTTAAAGGTACATTCTAGGAAAACAAAATTTTGAGGTAGTTGCAAATTATGGGAGATGTCTTTTTATCAAGTTACATACTGGTCAGATTAGCCAAGGTTAAGTTTGTAAGAGAAGCTGAAAGAATGCATGTAGTGTTCACAAAGTAAAGGAGATGAGGTACGTAGGGGAAATAACCACCAAGAAGTAACCAGGTAATAAAGAAAGAAACATATAAATCTGTTTCCCAAATGTTAAGTACCAGGAAAAGTAGGGAAAAAACCTCATGAGACGGATGAGATTGGTAAAATTGATTGACACAGGAAACTGTATGCACAATGATAAATCATAAAGCATACAGGGTTGAGTGGGCACTCTTGTTATTTGAAATGTTTAATTTATAAACAGTGTTATATACAATAGATTTATGAGTAAAGACTGTCTCTATGTCTGTTCTTTCAATTCTGTCTTTACCTTTAATACATAATTCTGGTCATTGTTTTTGAAGAATTGCTTTCGTATAAGATCATCTCTTAATGGCAGTGTACTTAAGATCTTTGATCTGTTTTGCGTTTAAGAATACTGTACAGGTAAGATCCCATAGATACTGGAGCTGTTAGTAGAACGTAGTAGATAATACCAATTAGTGAGTCTCAGTTTCTGTTCAGTGGGTCAAGAAAAGAATAGCTTTTAGACTCTTGATTTCCTGTAGGTTAGCTATACAAACTGCAATTAGGAGGTAGTGACATTTATTAGAAAACTTTAAAAGTTATTATTTTCCTTTTGCTGAAGAGGGATGATGAATGTCTCCATTATAAGGATAAAATTGTTGAAAATGGGGACAGTTTATACCTTATTTCTTCTTCTTTTATAGGTTTTAAAACGACCAGAATATTTTGGGAAGTTTGGTAAAATACATAAAGTGGTCATCAATAATAGCACATCATATGCAGGCTCACAGGTAACTAATTTTAGGGATGTTTGCCTTTCCTCCCTAAGGTCTGTGCTTGACTTGGGCTGTTCCAAAGGAAACTTTGCTCTCTGATTAGAAAGCTTGAGGGACAAGGACTTAAGCAGTTTAGTGACCTCTGTTGGTGGGGTGGGGGATTTTTTGGTGCTTATTTGACCCTTCTAGGACTTAACAATTAAGAGGGAAATAGTAAAACAAACATTTAGTGATGGAATAAAGGGGAAGGGGAGGTGAGTCTGCTATCAGGCAATGTAATAATTAGATGAGGATTAGATAGTGATTTCTAATCTGTAATATTTTCAGATATTGAAAATAGTATCTTTGTTATGCTGGTGTTATCAGAATGGTTTTCTAGATTGCATTTATTTTTGAGAGAACATAATTTGACATAGTCTTTAAATCTCATTTTTTAATCTAAATTTTAATTTTTTAATAACCTTGACGAGCCTGTCAAATGACTTTTTAAAAAAATAAATGCCAAGCCAAAGTAATATTTTATTCACATATACTACAGTATTCTTAAAATCAGATAAAATTCATTGAGTATTATTACTTTCAAATGAGCTAGTTTAGTGTTTAATCAAAACTGCCACTACTACTACTAATTATTGTCATTAGTAATAGTAGCAGTCAAGGGCTTTAGAATTCCCTAGGTTGCAGTACAATTTTTTTAGTATCGTTTAATTTGAAACTAATAACAGTGGAATGGGATTTTTTCACTTTAGGGTCCAAGTGCCAGTGCTTATGTAACCTATATCCGGTCAGAAGATGCTCTCAGAGCCATACAGTGTGTCAACAATGTGGTAGTAGATGGCAGAACACTTAAGGTAATATAATCCTCTTGATTCTTTTTTTTTTTTTTAAGGGAGATGAGATAAAATATAGTAAGTAGAGGAGAACTGAGCATTTATATATTAAATTTGACTTTAATTTGAAGAGTTTCTCTTAGGGTTCCATACCATCTATTATAGCTAATTTGTTTACTGCTGATTTCTGTAGGGTCCTCTTTTACCAGATAGGAATAAACACATTCATTATTAGGGGATAATCTTTTAAAATATTGCATTTTTACATATATTTTATTTTGTGATAATAGAACCATTATTTTCTTCAGAAATAGGTAGTCCTTAAATATATGCACATTGATTCAGGTTTGAGTGAGGAGTCCCACTAAGCAAAGCTTTATGGTTAATGGAAGAGAAGGATGGCATAATTAGAAAAAGGAATTTGCCTTCTTATGTGTCTAACCACTCATAATGTGGAACAGATTTTTTTGGTCTATCTCCTCTCTTGATATTTGGGGAAGATTTGGGTGTTCAAGTTTTGGAAACCATAGACAGATGTTTCCTTTAGTTCTTCCAAATGAGCCTCATCTATAATAAATCCTGCTAATAATAGTTTAGTTCTCTAGTATTTGCAGCCATATTTTTTGTTTTGTCATGTTTGTGCCTCATTTTAGGTGACCTGAAAACACTAAACTTGGAGATTCTTATTGTGTTGTCAGTTCACATTGAGTCTTCTTTTCCTTTACCCCTCTTCCTCTTGCAGGCATCTCTAGGTACAACAAAATACTGCAGTTACTTCTTAAAGAATATGCAGTGTCCAAAACCTGACTGCATGTATCTTCATGAATTGGGGGATGAGGCGGCCAGCTTCACAAAAGAGGAAATGCAGGTAGTAAAGTCATGTGAATTATCGACTTTGCAGAAAAGGGAGTACTTTTTTTTTATTAGTTAAAATTGCAAAAGCAAAAACTATGGATTTGATTTTGTAAAAACTGGTATTACTTTAAAGTAGCATTTTCCAAACAAAGTGTTTAATGGAAGGTGAGTTCTGCAAGATATTGTTACAATAAAAATGTGTCTTTGGTCAACTAAGTTTGAAATGCTAGATTAATGAAGATGAACAGGTTGCTTTAAGACTGCTCAGAGTCCTTAATATGCTAATACATATCCACGAAGGGAATTTACAACCAGAACTTAGTTGACCAGGAAAACACTTTGGGAAATGCTATTTTAAGAGGAATGTCAACAAAATGAAAGCTAAGTGGGATATTGTAATTATTCGTTAAACCAATCTATACTCTTTACAGGGCTTGCTAGAAAATAATACTGTCAAACAGTGCTGATAAACTAATATTATTTTTACAAAATTATTCTCCCCATGGAAGTGTCCACTAAATCAGTATCCTGTAAAGGGTGAATTGAAGGCTTAATATCCTATGTTCTTTTTTACATTTCCTCTTCTCCTGTCTCCTTTCAATTTGTAGTATAAACATGCCTTAACAAGTAAAAATGTTGACCATACGACATATTAAATGAGGATTATACCAAAGCACAATGCTGCACTTCCCTATTGTAGATGAGGACTTCAGATTGTTGCTGTGGACTTTTCAGGAATACTTCTCATTTAGAAGGTGGGGGGCATTCATTGCTACCTTTCATTCTCCAGGTCAAACTAGAGAAAGTCTGGTAGGGGCTCCTTTAAGAAAAGATTGTTAAATGGAGTATTACCTTTTTTGACTTGGAGCTAGTACAGATTAAATCCCATTATAATAAATACATCAGAGTTTTCTTGACAGTATGGTCTTTATGATTCAAAAACAATGTTCAAATAAGATCTATCTGATATTTAATAAGGACAGATGGCTTAACTGATTTCTTAAAAAATGCTTTTTTTGTTTTTTGGATGAAACCTTCTTGAATGAAATCTAAGGTAGAACCATTTCAAACTAAATTTTAATTAGTAGAGGGTATACTTTATTCACATTTCCTGTCAATTTCTATCAGAATTTTCAAGTCCCACCCAGTTGATCTCATTTAAAGTAATATTAAACAATAAAATAAAATGTATGGGCGGTCCTTTGGAACTTGTTTGTAATGGGATTTAACCTGTCTTTATGAACTGCCCCTGTAGAGTCATTTTAATATCAAGTTGAGCTCTTTATGGCTTTCCACAGATATTAGTGAAAGCCGTATCTCCTGAAGTATTGATTCCAGAAATAATTTTCAAGACTTTTCGTGTTTTAAAAATGTAAATTTCAAATCTAATGTATTTTTAAAAATAATTTAAAACTTATTTCATAATGTTGTCCTGAATTTATCTTGCTCTTCTGTAGCTGAGTTTAAAATTACTTTAAAAGGGGATTTTTTGTTGTTGTTGTTGTTAAAACACTTTCTTGATGTAGGAAAGAAATTTGAATAAATTTTATGGCAAAAATCAGAAAATCTTTCCTTGTTACTGCATAACTCAAAATTTAGTGTCATAGGAAATATTTATAGGTCCAATTGAAACAAGCAAGTTGCCTCTCAGAACAGGGAACGATGCATTGTGCAGTATATATGACATACTTATGCCCAATTAAATGCAATTGCCCTCACTTGTTATTGTTTTGATTTGTTCCGTTTTGGTTTTGTTGTATAACATCTATTTAGACCGTAATTTTTAAAAAGTTAACATCCCTGAAGGTAAGTAAAAATATTCTTCCAGTCTAGATATACATGCAAATAGTAAAACGATACTCAAAGTAATTTCATTATCATTTATTTTTGTGTCTAATTAGCTTCCACAGGCAATCTTTGCCTAATTTTTCCCATAATATTTGTGACATTGCCTTTTGATGTACACCTACCCAGCTAGAGTAAGCATAGCATTCTCTTGTGTATAGAGCAGAGGTTGGCAAACTTTTTCTGTAAAGGCTAGTTAGTAAATATTTTAGGGGTTTTGAGCTGTGTATGTAGTCTCCTGTCACAACTACTTTACTCTGCCTCTGTTGCACTACTATACTCTGCCTCGGTAGCAGAACTACAGCCAAATATGATATGTAAATGAATAGGCAGGACTGTGTTCCAGTAAAACTTTATTTACAAAAACAGGCAACTGGCTGTGAATTGCTGACCCTTGGTCTAGAGTTTAAAATACATTAATTTTTATTTTACGTTTGATAACCGTAGAAGAAAAGAGAAAGTAAAAACTAATGCATGGAAGTTTTACTTAGTGTCAAGATAATGAAGAATATAGTAAAACTGTTCATCTATGTGTTACTTCAAGTGCTAATCTCCAAATTAAAAAGGAGATTCATGAATTTTGGCTGATTTTTCGGAAAACTCAGTAATGACCTGTTACAAGACTTAATTCTTACATTAAAGACTTGGAAGTAGGTTTAAAGTGGACCTTACACTTTTTGAGCTAGCGAAAATGTTCTCCCCTTAATATACTTTTCTGTATAATAAATGGGTTGATGAAATGCCTTAATTTATCAGATATATATCATGTAATTTTGTTGGAATGACTTTCATTGATCTAGAAGTTTTGTGATATCCTCACAGGTTTCTCTTACTTGTTTTATTTAAAAATTTATTTAAATTTTATTTATTTAATGTTTTATTTTTAAAAAATCTTATTTGTTTTATTTAGAATATATTTAATAATTCAGAAGATTATTCAGTATTTTATACCAGCCATTTTGTGAATCCCACTGCAGTTTTAATTTATTCTTTCATTAGGCGGGTAAACACCAAGAATATGAACAGAAGCTACTTCAAGAATTATATAAATTAAATCCCAATTTTCTTCAGCTATCTACGGGTTCAGTTGATAAAAATAAGAACAAAGTGACACCACTGCAGAGGTACGATACGTAAGTATTGATACTCATAGTCAGACATCTTACCTTCTTATGAGTTGATCTTCTCTTTTCATTTTAGATCTTTTTCAGGCAAAAGCCTTGTTGACAAGGTCTATCGTTTATGCAGAATTGTTTAGCTGTATGGGAAATGTTGAGTCACAGTTTCTGGGTTTGAATGTTTGCTGCCTACTCTTCCCTGGTAACACTTCAGACTAGCTTTTTGATGGGTTCACCTTTTGCAGTGATTTGCAGACTACTCTGAGCCCAGGGAATACTTTCCTTGTTAAAGAGAAAATTAAGAGATTTTGGGTATTAAAAGGCTCTGATTACCTAATTGAGGTCTCTCTTGATATAATTAGGGGGAGAATACTATAAAAGGGAAAGTGGGTGTTATCTGAAGGAAGCCTTGTGTGATGGGGACACAAATATTCAAGAATATCTAGTTCCAGGAATCACTAAAGTTATTTAAATCCCGTAAATGAAGGGAGTATCCCACATTAAGAATCTTACTCATCTTAGACCAGTCATCTCCTATCTTCTACCTCATCATGGTTTTGGGTAAACTAGATTGTGTCAATGCTTAAATAAATTTATAATCTTCAGTTAGAGAGTCTCGTTCTGATATGGTGATCTTCATATCTTGGATTATATTTTGTTATGGCCTGTCAGAAAATCATATTAATAAGTATAATAATTTGGGGATTTTATTCTATTCTGAACTTTCGTTAAATTTGATGTGTTAGGATTTTTGTTATTTTTTATTTGATAAGTTTAACTTTTATCAAATGAATTTTAAAAGTAAATATTGTAATTAATTTATGTTGATGATCTTTTTTTTAAATTCCAAAGTTAAATTTGTTTGAATGTTGTTTTAATGTCTAGGTGTTAAATATTATAGCCCAGTGTCTATTGGGTGCTAAAATAATGTAAGAACTATTTTCAAATATAGCTAATAATAACTAAATGGTTTATTGTCTGAGTCCATTTCTTCAAAAACACATTCTTGTCTTTAAATTTTGAAGTCTGTGTTTATTCATTTTGATAGTAAAGATTATTTAAATTATTAAAAACCAAATTTACACATAAACATATATGCACATGTGTATGTAAATATAAATAAATATAAAATAGACCACAAAGCAAAATATAAAGTTACTGTATAGCAAACTATGTAAAATTTGTTTATATCAAAGCTAAGAATAAAAGCTAAGTCAAAACAGATCTTTCTGGTTTGACAAGCTTTGATCTTTTCCTTTAATCTTTTGTACCTACCCTTTTCTAACCCTGTATGGTTATTTTATGACAAACCATATGCTATTATTTACCTTACTGGTTGCCATCTCTGTAGTGCTTAGTATAAGAATGAAGTTATTGTAGTAAACAGTGGTTTATTTCAGATACTTTTAACATTTATGCACATCATTGTTTGCATTGAAAATGTTGTCATTCTAATTTAAGTCATATTCTGCGTTTTATAGCCCCTGGTGATTTCAGAGCAAAAATTTAAAATTTAGATGATCTCTTTGAAATAACATTTGTTGTCTTCTGAATATAAAACTAATATGTTTTTATTGAAGGAAATATGAAAAATTTATGAAAGCATACAGAATAAAATAAATATTACATATGATCTTAATACCCAGAACTTTTCACTGAAAGTGATTTGTGTATAGCATGCCCTCCAATAATGCCATTTCATTCAGTGTTGTTTTGTTACAATGTTGATGAGAAAAAAATCGATTCCCAGCTGGGGCCACTGCCTCTGTGGACTTTGCCTGTTCTCCCCATGTCTGCGTGGATTTTCTCTAGGCACTCTGGTTTCCTCCCACATCCCAAAGCTGTGCACGTTAAGTGAATTGACATGTCCAAATTATCCCATTGTGAGTGAGTGTGAGTGTTTATGTGTGTGAGGGGACCCTGCCAAGGTTGGTTCCTGCTTTGCCCTCTGATTTGCTAGGATGGGCTCTGGCCACCTGCAATCCTGAACCCCAATAAGTAGGTTGAAAGATGAATGCATGAATAAATACAAATTATTGTAAAATATAAATTTGTAAAGTGTTAATGTATTTTCTTATACACTAATTCCTTGCATTGTGTATTTTCTTAGTCTTTTTTCTTCTTGTGAATGCATGTATACCATTATACACAGAGTACCTTGGTTTGTTACATTTGAAAACCTAATATATATTATTATGAATAATTTCCCCATGTCACTAAAACATAATATTTTTTTTTTTTTTTTTTGTTTGAAACGGGGTCTCGCTCTGTCGCCCAGGCTGGAGTGCAGTGGCCGGATCTCGGCTCACTGCAAGCTCCGCCTCCCGGGTTCACGCCATTCTCCTGTCTCAGCCTCCCGAGTAGCTGGGACTACAGGCGCCCGCCACCTCTCCCGGCTAGTTTTTTGTATTTTTTAGTAGAGACGGGGTTTCACCGGGTTCGCCAGAATGGTCTCGATCTCCTGACCTTGTGATCCGCCCGTCTCGGCCTCCCAAAGTGCTGGGATTACAGGCTTGAGCCACCGCGCCCGGCCAAAACATAATTTTTTATGGCTACATAGTATTTCACTATATGTTCATATTTTAAATTTATTAAGCCAGTCTTCTGCTGTTGTATGTTATGTTGACTTTGTTATTATTTATAACACTGTCATGAACATCTTTACATATAAATGTTATATGGTTGTAACATATAAATGGTTATAGCTTTGATTGTTCCTGCAAATAGAACTGCTGAGTCAGAGTATGAGAGTACCTATTTCCTTGAATTGGGTATTTTTTTTTCCTTCTGCATACTTGCCAATTTGATAAACATAAAAAGCTGTCTCATTTTAACTTGTATTTGATTAACAGAGTGGACTTTTTATGCACAGTGAGTTTATATGTTTCCCATGTTTTATTTGTGTGTTTAAAAGTTTTATATGAGTTATAGAGATATGAACTTCCCCAATCAGTTGATCAATTATTTGTGTTTCAAAATACGTTGAATTTATAAATCAGTTTTGGAAGAATTTATATGCTATGACACTGGGCTGGGCCTGGTGGCACATGCTTGTAATCCCAGAACTTTGTGAGGCTTTGACAGGAGGATCACTTCAGGCCAGGAGTTCGAGAGCAGCCTGGACAACAAAGCAAGACCCCTGTCTCTACAAAAAAACAAAAACAAAACATTGACTTCTCCCAACCATTAGCATAGCATATCTCTCTTGTGCCTTTCAGGAAAGATTTTCTTTTTCCTGTTTTACTGTATTGGATCTCCTACCACCTCTTTCTGTTTGAAAAATCCTTAGGCTAAACAATGCAAAAACAGTGTTAGACTGGTAGCACTAGCAGGTGTTCTTGCCTCATACTTTACTTTTATGGGGATGTCTCTAGTGTTTTATTTACTCTTTAAGGATGATTTTGATCATTTACTTGAGATGGGTATTTTTAATCACACTTTGAAATACCTTGTTATTCCTAATTGATTGAGACTTTTTTCCTTTAGATTAGAAATGAATATTGCAATTTACCAAAAGTATCTTTGGCATTTATAACAAGTAGTTAGCTTTTACTGTGTTTAGTCTGTTCTTGCATTCCCCTATAAAGAAATACTTGAGACTGGATAATTTATAAAGAAGAGAGATTCAATTGGCTCACAGTTCTACAGGCTGTACAAGCATGGTGCTGACATCACTTGGCTTCCGGGCAAAGCAGGAGGCAGGCATATCATATACAGCAAAAGCAAGAGGGAGGGGGTTGTGGGGGAAGGTACCACACACTTTTAAATGACCAGATCTCCTGTGAACTCAGAGCAAGAGCTTACTCATCACCAAGGGGATGGCCCAAGCCATTCATGAGAGGTCCACCCCCACGATTGAAATGCCTCCCACCAGGCCCCACCTCCAACATTGGGGATTATAATTCAACACGAGATTTGGTGGGGACATACATTCAAACTATATTATTTACTTATTTTCGTGATCAGTTATTAATAGATCTGCTAATATTTTATTGGCTTTGCCTTTCATTATAGTCAGGTAGTCTGTAGAGCACATTCATAACTGTGTTGGTAGCAGGAGAATGTCTAGAAGCCACAAGTTGTAAAGGGGGAAACAGGAGGAAAAGAGGTAAACTCATTTACTAATTTTGCCCAAAGCCAGTGCTGTAGAACCTCAGCTGGGATCAGAATAAAAAAAATTCTTTGAGAGTCTTGCTGTCACCTAGGCTGGAGCACAGTGATGCGATCATAGCTCACTGCAGCCTTGAGCTCCCAGGCTCAAACGATTATCCCATCTCAGCCTTCTGAATAGCTGGGACTACAGGTACACACCACCACACTCAGTTAATTTTTCTCTTTTTTGTAGAGATGGCATTTCACCATGTTGCCCAGGCTGGTCTCAAACTCCTGGGCTCAAGCGATTCGCTCGCCTTGGCCTCCCAAAGTGCTGGGATTACTGGTATGAGCCACTGTGCCTGGCCAGAGCAAATTTTGACATAGATGTACATGCTTTGCATAAGTACATGATATAGAAACTGGTTTTTTTTTTGTTTTTTTTTTTTTGCGGGGCGAGGTGGGGAGTGTTTTCTGTTTTAATGCAGTTACCCAAATTTATTAAGTGACAATTAATGGCCCAAGTTACAGAGAGTAAGCCTTTGCCTGACTGTCAGTCATAGCGAAACGTGTGCTTTGGTCTCCACTTCCACACTGCCATTACCCAGGGTAGGCATACAGAGGCAGTAGGTAGTAGAGATGAATTTTTAGATAAGATTTCTTCTTACAGGAAAGACTTGCCAAATTAGAGTGATGAGCAGTGTAACTCTTTCCTTCCAAGGTCCTACCCAAGAGATAGGTTTCTTCTTCTTCAAGGTAAGTTAAAACTTAAACTTTCTAGGAAAAAAAACTCAAAGAAGGGTTTCATTTACACATTTCTTGGCGTTCCTAGATAGTGGGTAGCAGTTTTACAGAAAGAATTGCAAGAAAGCAAAGCCTGGAACCTTATAGATTGAGACACTAAGCTTAAAATGTGATTTTCT